AAAAAAAAAAAAAAAAATATCCTCCCAGGTGTAGCAGTCCCTAACAACATTTATCTAGCACAAATATATGGTGCTGAGACTGAGGGATCCTTGTTTTGAGCTTTACTGCCTGAGGCTCATCTTTTCCACAATATTAATCAATTTCTGGGACACCAATCCTAAGTGATAAAACATGGGGCCCTGCTCTGAAATTCTCTTATGCTTGGCCCCATGACCTCTGCACAGTTCCACAGAGTAGAGCATGACATGGCCAAAGGAATCACTTTCTGCCCTCACCAGGATGTCAGGTCTATGACCCAGAAAGGAAGCAAAGTTGGGGCAAGGCATGGAGTCCCATGTCTCACTCACCTGCAGCAGGTCCACGGTGGACCCCTGGCACCGGTACTCGAGGTCGGAGATGAGCTCTCTGAGGGACTGGCTCTGGCGGATCATCTCACCCTCGGCTTTCTCTATGATGCTCAGCCCTTTCCGCTCTTCCTCCTCCAGCTTCCTCAGCTCCCGCTGCTCCTCTCTGTCCAGGACACTGCGTAGACGATCAAACTCTTTCTGGATCCTGTGTCTCTCAGGCTCCACCTGATTCTTCAGCATCAGGGAAGAAAGAGGCTGCTGTCTGGCAGGCTTAGGACTCCTCTGCTGGTGCGACCTCAGCCTGCCTCTCCTTTCACTGGCCACCAAGGGCCCCACCCATGGACGGCCATCTGTGCTTTTACCTCCCTTATGTTCTTCCCAGGTCATTAGCCCCAAGCTACCCATCTAACTCTCACATACAGACTATGATTTCTAGGTGAGGTCTAGACTGCAGACAGCTAACACAGCTTCCCATCAGTATCCTCTACAAAGTTTTTGAGTATCAGACAGGAATTATCAGCCCATGACTAACAGCATTTTCAGAAGAACAAAGAGACAAGTAGTAAACTGTGATCCAGAATTATGAATGAGGGGGCAACATCTGGCCCTGCTTTATCTCCTATGTGCCTGTTGTATCAGAAACCTGGGTTGTCATGTGATGTATCTGCTGTCTGAACCCTCTTCTTGTCCTTGTTTGGAAGGTATGCAAAGATGTCCTTCCAGCTGTCACATCAAGAGAGACCTAGGACCAGGCTCCTTTCCCAGGACACCCTAAGATGAAATCTTTCTTGCCTTCCAGGATGTCCTCTTCTCTCTGATAACAGCTGTTAGTCTCTCAGCTTCCTCCTCGTCTTTCCTCAACTTCTGCAGTGATTCTAGGAACATTTCCTGAAAGAAAAACACCAGGGGATGAGGGTGAAGCCTTAAGCTGTCTCTAGAGCTAAACATGGGCTAAATTAAGAGTCTGTGCTGACCTCAGAAGAAGCCAGTGTATTCTGAGATGGAAAGCTGTGAAGACCAAAGTATCTTCTAAATACAAGTGATGGAGCCAGCAGAAATAGGCTTATGCTTTTTTCTGGGGCATGGACCCGACTCCAAAGTACTTTCACTGTCAATGTATCTCCCCCACTCAACCCACCAGAGCCCCTGCTTTCATCGCAAGCAGCTCCTTCTACTCATTCTTGTATAAGGAAGGGACAACAGTTCTATTCTTACCCAGGAGGGCACTTCTGAGCTTCCTACTCCAGGCAAATGAGAGGATGAAAAAGCAATCAAAGGAGAGCACAATGCAAAATTAAAAATCCCCTACCATGGACAGACCTTGTTCCTCCCTCTGTCCTGGCTCCCACCTGGTACTCCTGAGCTACCTCCTCCATGAGGAAGGTATGGTGACCACGGTGTTCCTGGGAGCGCTCACAAAGCCAGCAAATCAGCTTCCCATCCTCCTTACAGAAGAGCTGGAGCTTCTCTCCATGGTGTGCACAGAGAGCGACCTGTGGCTGGGTTATAGGTGCCAGCACCACCTCTCTGAGCCGCTCTGCTATGTTGGCCAGGTGCCGATTAGGCCGGAGGTCCCGGGGGTGGTAGCCAGAGTGGCACACAGGACAGCTGTTCTCCTCTTCTTGGCCGACTCCTGATTTCTCACTGTTCTCTGTGATGCAGGCCTGGCAGAAGCTGTGGCCACAGTCTGTGCTCAAAGGTTCTGTCAGGATCTCCAGGCAGATGGGACAGGTGACCTCCTCTCGGATGTCCACCAGAACTCTTGAAGTCATTGTAGCTGTTCTTGTGGCTGCCTACCCAGCCCTGACTTCTAAGATGGTTCTGCTTATGGAAGCCTAAGTAGAAGAGCAAAGGAAAAAGGAATCAGGATAAGCAAGGAGAGATGGCTCAGTAGGATAAGTGCTTCCCAGGCAAGCACAAGGGCCTGAGTTCAATTCCCAGTTCCACAAAAAAAAAGAAAGAAAGAAAGAAAGAAAGAAAGAAAGAAAGAAAGAAAGAAAGAAATTACCCTCGTGACTTTAGGGCTGGCCAAATAGCTCAGTGGATTAAAGCGCCTGCAAGCAAGTGCAGGGGCCAGGGGTTCAATCCCCAGGCCTCCTGTGCTGGGCCTGTCCCTGGGGTGCGCTGAGACAGCAATTGAGACTGGGTGTGGTGGTGCACGCCGATAATCCCAGCTCTTGGGAGGCTGTAAACAGGCGGATCACTGCTGAGTCTGATCTAGTAGTGAGACCCAGAACACCTTGCAGACCTTCCCTAAAATAAAAAAATAAATAAATTTAAAAAAAAAAGACTGAAGGGATGCTGAACACCCTGAGCTGGTTGGACACTTGGGTAACAAGAACTTCTTATTCTATTTTAACACTTCCATCATTCCAACTAATGAGATGTTAATTTCAAACATCATGAAACCAATGGTTATGATTTTTATTTACTTCTATTGGATAGAGAAACAAACAAGAGACCCTGGACAGGTGGGATCTTGTATGACGTGTCATCTACCCGACCTCTACCTACCTCACAAAACACATTCTCATTATTATCATTTTTTAAGAGGGGATACCAGGAATCAAACTCAGGACCCTGTGCTTGCCAAGCAGGTGCTTGTGCCACCGAGCAATAAATATTCCCCACATCCTCAATATTAAAAGTACCAAAATATGCATCTGCTTTAGGATTTGTGATATTGATCCTGCTGCAAGGGGGACACTTTTCCTGTTGTTGTATGACTCATTTTTTGCATATCCCTTACCAGAAGGGTCTGCTGTGCCTATCCTAAATTGTGGCTACCACACAATTACTGTCCACATCCCTACCGGATGCTTTTTCTTATTACCAGCTGATATTACAATGGTCTGACACCCCGTCCCCCCAGTAGAATGCTAAGCGCATGAGATCAAACACTACTTATCATCATTATTATTAGTAGTAGTAGTATTCACAGTATATCCAAAGCAGCTTATACAGGGCTTGAGGCACAGGTCCTCAGCTTTGAATAAATGAAAAGGTAGAATTTCATGGCCTCTCCACACAGGACCAGATCTTCTGAGTGAACATTTTACCTCTTTGCTATCATTCTCTGGTGTTTTGTCTCCAAAGGCAAAGGTGAGGACGTGCCTGCCTCTGTTCCACACAGCCCTGTCATCCCTCCTGCTCACCTTCTCAGGAAAGTAAAACAGGAATGACTACAATAAGGAGAGATAATACCTTTCTTTTCATTTCTTTAGAAAAAAGAAAAAGGGCTGGGGAGACGGCTCAGTGGAATAAGCACTTCCCTGGCAAGCGCAAAGGCCTGAGTTCAATCCCCGGTTCCATGAAAATAAATAAATAAATAAAGATTTAAAAAAAGAAAAAGAATTTTTAAAATGGTATAAAATTTCAAAAAAAGACTGTAGGAGAATAACAATAGTATAATGCATATTGTCAGCTTCAAACTAGTTGCTCACATTATAAGATACAGGCATGAAAAGCCGATCAAGTAATACCAGCATATACCTTTCCTTTCAATAAGGTAACAGCTTTGTATGTGTACATATATTATATTTTTATTTATTTTATTTATTTTTTTGGCGGAACTCAGGCCCTTGCACTTGCCAGGCAAGGGCTTATTCCACTGAGATATCTCCCAGGCCCTATTATATATTTATATATTTTTCCTTTTCCCTTCCTTCTTTTCAAGAAGAGATTATATTCTAACACTTTTGTAAGTAGTTGTGCTTGGGCTGTAAAGGGTTAACAAAATTTTGTGTTTTAACTGTAAAAAATTATTAAAAAACTATTGTGCTTCCCATTATCTACTCTAAAAATATATATATTCTCCCTCTCGGCACAAGGCTGTTTAACAATAAATAACTGTTTCTTGTCAAGGCAACAAGCTAAAACAAACTCCCTCTTTAACCATCTCCTATAACATGGTCAGCTTAAGATATGTCTTATAAAAATATATGCTTACCATTAACTGTAAAAGACCCTTTAGTTACAGTTTATAGCTGTGTCAAATAAATGTAGTTTTCTGTTGTAGGTAACACATCTGCTTACCAAACTAGATGTGATTTCTGTTATAAATACCCCTCTGGTACCTATGGGTACTGATCAGTCTTCTGCATGAGAAGTGGTTGATGGACCTGAGCTCCGTAAATAAAAGGCTCTATTCAAATTTTAATTTGATCTTTGACTTGGTTCCTATGCTGAATGACCCATAACATTTGGGGGTTCATCTGAGATCCCCTTTAGTGGGGATCAATCATAAGAACCAGAGTCTTTGGAAACCATTTCCCCAGGGGGACTTTCTGGTCTCAGGACGGTCTCCAAAAACTCATAAATCCTAACATTCAGACCAATTAGACCAAGCCATCTGAAAGATCTTGCCAGTAAAACATTTGTATCTGTTCTGTTGGGGTGCTGCTCTGACAGTCCTAAGAGGTGCTGGATGCAGCGACAGCCTCTGGACTTACTTGACTCCTTTCCATGACGACGGGTCGGAGTCTCAGGCCTGTTTCTGTTTTGTTTTTGTGTATTTTGGTCGACTGTCGTTTGTCTGTCTAATAACCATGGGTCAGTCTGCTTCTGCTTCAGCGTCGCCTTTGCAATGTATTCTTGGTCATTTCCAGAATTCTGACGGCGAGCTGCTGACCACGGAGACCTTGTCTCCCCGGGGACTCTCTGTACTCTCTCTGGACTCTCTGCGACCTAGAGTGGCCTGGCCGATCAGAGTCCATATGGCTTCTGGAGGGCTCTTTTAACATCTTCCAAGTTTATCAGGTCTGCAGGGTCATATTTAAAAAACGGGGACATCCTGACCAAGTCTCATATATCCAAGCATGGATTTTTTTTTTTTTTTTTTTTTTTTTGGTGGAACCGGGGATTGAACTCAGGCCCTTGCACTTGCCAGGGAAGCGCTTATTCTAATGAACCATCTCCCTAGCCCTATGGATAGATTTATTACAGGACCCTCCAAAGTGGATGAAGACCTGTCGCTGTGCTTGGGTATCACGCTGACATGCTTCTGGTATGATGGCGCTGGCCGCCACTGCAGAAAAGGATCCTCAGGGTCCTAAAAGGCTGCCTATGCTGCCGCCAACATCTGAATCCGACTCCCCTCCTTTACCCTAAACTGCTCTGTCTCCCTCTTAACACTTTGGCTCTGGCTAGCCCTGAGTCCTCCACTCCTCTGAGTCGGCCGCACACCTGTAGTGGAATGCCCTTTTCTCAGCCCCTGCCATCTGACCCTGATCTTTTTCCAACCTCAGCACCAGCCCCAGTACTTCCTCTGTGAACAACTGGGTGGAGATGACTGCTCTTTCATGGTCTATGTCCATCGACCATGTGATTTATATAACTGGAAAAACTACAACCCCCCTTTCTCTCAGAACCCTCAAGGGCTTATATCTCTTCTGGAATCTGTTTTCTTCACCCATTAGCCCACTTGGAATGATTGCCAACAGCTTTTACAGACCTTCTTCACATCTGAAGAGTGAGTGCAAATCCACGAAAATTAATTTTAAGCCCGGATGGCCAACCAGCCTCAGATTCTGTAGAACTGGAGGAATCCTTCCCTTTGACTTGTCCTAACTGGGATTATAATTCCCATAGAGG